TATTGATTAAATCTGTGGCAGAGAGTACTAAATCTGGTTGTTTCTTTTCTTTTGAATTTCTCCTTCTTGTCATTTTGTCAGAAAAAAAGGGGAAAGAAAGAAAACAAAAAAAAAAAACAGCAGAAGCAGCAATAATAATACCAAGAACAACAACGATATCTTCAGGAAGTGATTCCAGTATATGCTGTGTACACTCTGCTGTTGTGTTTTGGCTGCTCTTTCCTGCTGGTCCTCCTTCTACAGAGTTCCTACTTGCTTGTGGTGGGGAGTGTTTGGTCCTTTAAGTAGTTATGCTTTGATTTGTTTGTGAAGTTAAGCTGGAAGCTGAGGTTTTGGAGCTTTCTTTAATCAGTAGACTTGGTAGATTCAGGGGTTTTTTTTGGTCTTCTGAGGGAGACGCCTGCTGTTCTGGCTCACAATTTGACTTGCCCTCCTAAAGATGCTCCTGCCAGGTCAGGGGATCAGGGTGTAGTGTAGGGGACTGTGGCCTCCACTAAGGGTACTGTGTTTCTCTCTGGAGTCTGTACTGGGGGGCAGGAGGAGGGAAGGGTGGTATAGGAGGTAGACTATGGCCTCACCTCATCCTCTTGTCCCTAGGGAGCAGAGTTCCTGGCAGCTGCTGCTCAGGAGGCCCTCTTAGAAAAGCAAGCAATCTCCTGTGACCCAGGACCTCCTCAGTTCCCTGCCCTAACTTGTCTGTGTCTGAGTCATTGGTACACCCAGAGCCACAGATCTCCTGTATTTTATCTCTGGCCAGTGGCTGGGATTCAAATCTTAAAGTTTTAAAGGGCCTGTGGATGTGTGTGCCTACTCTTGTCCCCTGGAGGGGAGGCTCAAGGCATGCCCAGAACCATCCTGTCCCTGAAAAGCCATCACTCAGTTTGTGTGTGCAGAGGCTAGAGTTTATTGTAACACTCAGCAGAAAGCTGGAACCAGGTTATCAGCCATCTGCATTTGACTCCATCCCCTACTCCCCTTTGTCCCAGAAAAGCCACTGCAGAAGCTTGAATCTATTGTGGCAGACAGCAAAAATGGCAGCCAGGTTATGTACATTCTGCTCCAATCTCTGTGCTCTGCTCAGTCAGTCCCAGAACACAGCTCTTTGGCACACACACAGAGGTTTAAGCCTATTGTGGCTCACACTGAAAAGTTAAGAGGTTTTCTCCCCTCTGTGCTCCTCTCTGACCCTGCTGTTGAGCTTCTCTCAAGGCTCCCTGGCTGTCCCTTTGTCTTTGGAGAGGACAAATATGCTCCTCCAAATGCTCTCTAGGAAGGGGAGCAATCTCTCCCTGAACACCTCAGGGATCCACTCGCCATAGCTTATTGTGTGTTCATAAACCGCTGTACTCTTTCCAACTTTCTCCCTCTTCCTGACTTTGCTCTGTGAACCCAGCTTCCTCCCGTTCTCAACCATGCAGTTTCCTAATCCCCCAATTCAGAGCCCTGAACCCCGCTTCTGCCAAATTCTCTCACTCCAACTGTGCATAATGTTTCCATACTCCTCGGGTCCTCTTCCTGATTGTTCAAAATAGTTGGAGGTTGATCTAGTTGTATTCCAAGGATGAGGCAAACTCAGGGTCCCCCTACTACACTGCAATCTTGGAACTCTGATCAAAACCTTTTCTGTTGTGGTGTGTGTGTGTGTGTGTGTGTGTGTGTTTTAAAGTAATAGAACAGATTGGTGTTTGCCAGATTCAGTAGTGAGGGGGAATTGGAAGATGGGAGAAATGAGTAAAGGTGGTCAGGAGGTAAAAATAAGAATTTGAAAATCAATAAAATGATAAGTGAGTACATTGAAAAGATCAGTGAAATTAACATCTAGCAAGAATGACAAAGAAAAAAGAAAGAAGACAGAAATTAGTGATATCAGGAATGAGTGAGGGTATATTTCTACAGACTTTGCAGACAGAAAAAGGATAAAAGAGACTATTTCAAACAACTCTGTGTGGACAAATTTGAATGAGATGGATCAATTCCTGAAAAAGTGCAAAATATCACAAATTACCCGATATGAAATAGATGATTTGAATAACTATTAAAGAAATTGAGTTCATCCTTAAAAAATTGCCCCCCCAAAAAGAAATCTACAAGTGCCCAAACCTACAGTTAGCATCAACTAATGGTGAAATATAGAATGCTTTCCCCCTGAGGTCAAGAACAAAACAAGATGTCCACTTTGACCACCTTTATTCAATTTGTACTGGAAGTTCTAGCTAATGCAATGAAACAAGAAAAGGAAATAAAAGTAACATACAATTGCCTGTGTTTGCAATCCTAAGGAAACTACAAAAATAGTCCTATAACCAATAAGTGAATCTAAAAATGTCTCTGGATACAAGATCAACATACAAAAACCACTTGTGTGTTTATACAGTAAAAAACTAACATACTGAAACTGAAATTAAATATATAATATTATATTCAATCACTGAAAAAATCAAATACTGTAAATCTAACAAAACTAACAAAACATGTAGAGGTCTTTTATGCTGAAAATTATAAAACATTGATGAAAGAAATCAAAGAAGTTTTAAATAAATGGAAAGACATTTGTGTTCATGGATTGGCAGACTCAACATAGTAAAAATGTAAATTCCTCCAAAATTAATATGAAGGTTTAACATAATCCTTATAAAAGTCTCAATAAAATTTTTAGTTGATGTAGACCAGAAAATACTAAGATTTATATGGAAAGGAAATATGCTAGTATAGTTAAAATAATTCTAGGAAAAAAAAGAATGAAGTGGAAGAAATCCGCCTACCTAATTTCAAGACTTATTATATAGCTACTGTAATCAAGACTATGTGGTATTTACAGGAACATACATATAGAGATCAATGAAACATTAAAGGACCCAGAAATAGCCCTGCACAAACATGGACAGCTTAGTTGATTTTTGACAAAGATGCAAAAGCAATTCAATGGAGAACGTCTTTTCAAAAAATGGTTCTGGAACTCTTTGATATCCATAGAAAACAGAAATGGACTTTGATCTAAATCTCACACCTTATAAAAAATGAATTCAAAATGGATCATAGATTTAAATTGAAAACATAAAAACTATAAAAAAATTTAGAAGAAAAGATAGGCGATAATCTTCAGGACCTAGAGCTTGGTGAAGTATTTTTAGAAATGACACTAAAAGCACAATCCATTAAAAAAAGAAGCAATAGCTTAGACTTCATAAAAATTAAAACCCTTTTTTTTTTTTGCAAAAGACGCAGATGAGGAAAATAAAAGCTACAGACTGGGAGAAAATATTTAAAAACCACATATCTGACAATAACTCATATCTAGAATATATAAAGGACTTTTAAAACTCAAAATTTTTAAGAAGTCAATTAGAAAATGAGCAAAATGCATGAAGAAACATTTCACTGAAGAGAGTATATGGATGGAAAATAAGCACATGAAAAGATTTTCAAAACTAACCTTTGGGAAATCAAATTAAGAACTCAATGATCTATCACTGCATGCATGAATGAGAACAGCTAATTTTTTCATTATTGAGAATACCAGATGCTGGCAAGAATGCCAATAAACTGGATTTTTCATACATTGCTGGTAAAAATGTAAAATGGTACAATTTTTCTGGAAACAATTTGACAGTTTTTTATAAAATTAAATGTGTAATTATCATACATCCAAGCATTTGGATCCTTGAACCTCTATTCTAGAGAAATGAAAACTTATATCTGCACAAAAACCTGTTCATGACTGACTGTTCATAGAAGCTTTAAGGACTCCAACATTAAAACAACCTAAGTGCCCTTCGATGAATGAATGATTAGACAAACATTGCAAATAAATGGAAAAAAAAAGTACATAAATATCATGGAATACAACTTAAAAAGGAATGGACAATTGATACATGCAACTTGAAAAAATCTTCAGAAAATTATGCTGAGTAAAAAAAGGCAACTTTAAAAAAATCACATGCTTTATGACTTCATTTATATAACATTTTTGAAATGACACAATTATAGAAGTAGAAAACAGATTAATGGTTGCTAGGGGTTGGGAATGGTAGATAGAGGAAGAAGAATCGTGATAAAGGAACATGGCAGTGTACATACATACTGTGCAATATCAATTTCCTGTTTTAATTATTGTGATATAATTATGCAAAACATAAATTGGAGAAAACTGAGTGAAGGAGATCTACCTTTGAAACTTCTGTGCCTCTAAAACTATTTTAATATAAAACATTTTAAAAATTGGTTCTGAATCAAATGAAATGAAATTTTAGAATACTTGAAATACCCAAGTAACCATTAAAGAGTCAAAGTTAATAGAAGTTACATTTTCACCATGGAAGCAAGATTGGATATGGAATAGGAACTCTAGTTATAGCTATATGTCTGGTCCCTTTAGGAAAAGAATCAATTTGTGTTTTATTTGAAAGTTTTGGTGGGTTATTTCTACAGAAAAACAAAAACAGAACCAAAAACAAAAATTTATGTATTTTTAAATATTTAAAAAAGACATAATCATTTAAGAGAAACGCTTTTTAAAAAATTAACATTGTTATTTAACTATTATTTACCAAAAATTTAAATATATTTTGTTTAACTTCCTCTCAAGGTTGTCCTATTTGAATTATGTTTGCTTCATAAACATAAACATCTGCTTATAAATTTTTATTAGTCCTTTATTCAACATTGTATTGGATATTTTGACACATTATACTATATCAAATTAATAAAATGAGCAATTCCAAAAAAGAAAAAGGAGCCTAAAAAAAGTGTTCTGCAATGGACTGCATGTTCCTTTAAAGTCTGAATATTTAGATAAATGTCATTTTTCTGCTAATAATATATTTAAAAGTAAAAGCATAATTATCTTAATTTTTGCATATTGACTAATAATTAAATTTTATTATTTTAGGTACTTATTTATTTTTAATCATATTTTATGCAGCATCCATTTATTATTTTAATGGCCAGAAATGCTAAAAGTTCTATATTTACAAAAATTCTTTTTGTATTTCTCTTATAAGACTTGGATTGGGAATCGAAGAAGGAAATACCGTTTAATGGGGATTGAAGTTCCGCCACCAAGAGGAGGCCCTGCTGATTTTTCTGAGCAGCCTGAGTCTGGTTCTTTGTCTGCGCTCACATCAGGAGAAGAAGCTGGTCCTGAAGTAGGAGAAGATAATGAAAGAAATGATGAAGTATCCATCTGTTTGTCTGAAGGAAGCTCTCAAGGTATTTCATATGCTGCACTTTCTAATAATAGCTTTTGTAAATTTGATGGATTTTAACTTGCTTTTCAGCTAATTGCATTTCAAATATAAAGTCTTCAAAACATTTGTTTAAATATTTGAAAAGAAATTAATTTATTTTGATTGTATTTTTATATATATACACACACATAATGAAATGATTACTACAGTAAAACTAACACATCCACCTCCTCACAGAGTTACCATTTATGTATATGGTGAGAGCACCTGAAATCTACTCTCTTAGCAAATTTCTAGTATGCAATATAGAATTGTTAACTATAATAATCATGCTGTACATTAGATCTCTAGACTTATCCATCCTATGTAATTGCAAATTTGTATCCTTTGACTAAATTCCCCCATTTTCCTGACCTCCCTACCATGGTAACTATCATTCTGTCCTCTGCTTCTATTTGACTTTCTAAGAGTCCACATATAAGTGAGATCATGTAGTATTTTTAGTTCTGTGCCTGGCTAATTTCATCTAACATAATGTCCTCCAGGTTCATCCATGTCATTGCAAACGGCAGGATTTCCTTTATCTAAGACTGAATAAATTCCTATATATATGTATATAGGTTTTTATATATTTATATATATTTCTTTACATATATTATATATTCCTATATATAGGAGATAGATAGATAGATATTTCTCAATTTCTTTATCCATTTATCTGTCAACAGATACTTAGGTTGCTTCCATATTTTGGCTATTCTATGTAATGCTGCAAGAAATGTGGGAGCACAAATATCTCTTTGAGGTACTAATTTTATTTCTTTTGTTTATATATCCAGAAGAGGGATTACCAGATCACATAGAAGTTCTATCTTTAAGTTTTTGAGGAACCCCCATACTGTTTTCCATAATGGCTGTATCAATTTGCATTCTGACCAATGGTGTACAAGAGTTCCCTTTCCTCTATATCCTCACCAACACCTATTGTCTTATCTTTTTTATTTTTAATGCCTCCACGTAAAGAGTCTCACTGAGTCATCACAACACTTATCTACCACAATAATGATATCTCACATTTAAAAATGTTGGTCATTGTAACAATCCATAATTATAATTAAGTACGATTGTTTTTTATTTTATTGAAATTCTAATCAATTTAGGTTAGAACATTATAAATGTTTTGTAATAAAAGAGGGTATGGTATAATGTGATTAACACCAGGGTAATAGGCAACATGGGTGAAAGTCCTAGATCTTCCACTAGATGATTATTTGACTTCAGGCAAAACATTTAATTCACAGGGCTTTAGTTCCACATCTGTAAACTAAGGGAAATAGACTGGATCATCTTTATAACATTGCTCATGAGAGTAATGAGAATTAAAATAATAACATGTACTTTTCCAATGAACACTTGTATTGAGTTTAATTTACATATCATAAAATTCATCTATTGTCAATGTAGAATTCAATAATTTTTAGTAAATTTTATAGAGTTGTGGATTATCACCATCACTAAAAAACAGCTTTAGAATATTTTCATCACTTCAAAATATTTATTTGAGTTTGTAATCAACCCTCATTCCCACATCCAAACCCAGGCAACCACATATCTACTTTCTGACGATATAAAACCTGTATTTTCTGAGTATTTCATATAAAAGGAATTATACAATATATAGTCTTTTTGTATCTGAGAGAAAGAGAAAGAATCTTGCACTGACCTATTTTGTTTATTTTACTGATCAGAATATTAACAATATATTTTCCAGTTTAATTTTTGCCTTTTAAATTTGATTATGGATATCAGAACTTTTGCTTGTAGTATTTCTGTTGCCAAATATATCAATCCTTTTCTTTATGATTTCTGACTTTGGTGTCATGATTACAAAGTCCTTTACTGTATCACAATTATGTTAACATACCCCTATATTTGCTTCTTATATTCTTACGGTTTCATTTTTACAACTTGGCATTTATTCTGCCTAGAATTTATTTTACTTTAACATGTGTGCGGAAAATACCTAATTTTATTTTTCCAAATGGTTAACCAGTTGCCTTTACAGTATTTGCTAAATAATCCAGCGTTATTTCCGGTGAGTTTAATTGTAGCTTTTTATCAAGTATTATATACATACACACATATATGTATACATATATATTTTGGATTTCATATTATGTTACATTGATCTGATTGTTTATAACTGTGGCTTTATAAAATATCTAAATATCTGGTAGTGCTCTGATTACTCTTCTTAGCTCTTGTAGCACAGATTCTACTAGATTAACTTTAGAATTGTTTAGTCATACCTTTCGCCAATCCCTCTCTCCCAAAATCATTTTAAGATTTTTTTATTGGCACTGCATTAAAAGGATAATAAAATTGTGGAAAGATAAATTCAGTTTTGCATGTGTTAAGTTTTAGATGACATCAGGACATCCATGTAGAGCTGTTCAGAAGACTCATGGATAATATGGGTCTGAAACTCAGAAGAGGAGTTAAGACACGACAAGAAATATAGGAACCACCCATATCGAGGCCAAAAAAAAATAATGTCTAGCCATAGAAATAGAACATTTAGTTAAATGAGAAAATGGAAAACAAGAAGGAAAGATGTATAAAAGCTGTGTGTTGAGAAATATCCCAATTGGGGAGCTAGAGGAGAAAAGGGAGCCATCAAAAGAATATTCAGATATAGGAGAATGAGAATGTTATGTTATTAGTAAAATCAAGGAAAGAGAAATTTCAAAAGAAAGAAATGTCATTATCTTGGTCATCTTTTGGAAGTTGAATAGAAATTTCTCTCATATGAAGCATCTAAAATGGTCAAAGGTATGTAAGTGGACAATATAATGGTAGCAGAGGATGAGGGACAGGGATATGAGGAGTTGTTCAATGAGTATAAAGTTACAATTACACAACTATAGTATAAGTGTTAGTTCCTATAGTTGGCAATAAGGGGTTATAGACTTTAAAAGCTTGTTAAGAGGGTAAATCATATTGTGTTCCTAACACAAAAAAAGGGACAAAAGAAAACTTTTGGAGGTCATGGACATGTTTATTAACTGGATTGTGGTGATGGTAACATGAGTGTATTCACATGTCCAAACTCACCAAATTGTATACATTAATTATGTATACAAATTATACATTAATTATGTGCACTTTGTTTACACCAATTATACCTTAATAAAGCAGGAAAACGAAAATAAATTTTTAAAAAAGAATGAGAACCCATTGAATTGGGTGCTTAAGGGATTCTTTAAAAAACAATGTGTGTTGCAAGGTGGAGGCAAGCAGATTGCAGTAGGTTGAGTAATGAAAGTGATGCTCTCAGCATTGCCAGGGCCATATATTTTAATGCCAAGTGTTTAAAAAGTTGTGTGAATATTCAAGTGTTTCCTCTCTCTCTCTCCCTCTCTCTCTCCTCCCTCCCTCCCTTTGTCTTTCTTTCTCTGCCTTTACCAACATTTGCTGTTGGCATTGATGAAGATGATAACACAGAATTTAGTGTACAGGAAAACTATGAAGCAGGAAAAAAAGAAAAGCTATTGCATCATTTCCAAATCCCTTGTTTATAATCTGGTCCATTAAACCATTTTTGTCTTCTATTATTATTTACTAAATTGTATGTGCCTGGGAATACTTGATTATTTTCAGTGATTTATGAATGGACCTTTAGAGAATGATGGCTGGCAGCTATTTGGAAGATAATGGGGATTTGTGTGTTTCTGTGGGTTGGGTAGGTGGGAGAGCTATTAAGAAATATTCTGATTAAAGTAAATTACATAAACCCCTAAAGGGGAGTTTCAATCTATGACTTCCACTTCCCCATCTAAAAGGGAATTAAAAAAAAATAAGTAGTTAATGGGAAAAACGTGAGTTAATTTTAAGGTTGCTAATGGACGACTGCTCCTACACTGGCATTTAATAGTATGTTCTCTAGACAGCTGGCATTAGTAATCAAGACCTATGAGAAAAAGAGAGAGAGAATTTAATATATGAATCAAAAAACACTTGATAGGAAGTGAGATTGCCTATAATTCCTCTCAGTGGCTTATTTTTTACAGCTGCATAATAACCTTTTCATTCTTATCAGAAGTTGGAACAGAAAAGCATAAAAGATACAAAAAGAGCCTTTTTTGGTACTATTTCCAATGAGTTCTGTACTATTTTCTTCCTCATTTTGCTGATGGAGAATGCTAATCTAATTGATTTAACTGTGTGATCCTTTTATGATGATTAAGTGAATTGTATCATGTGGCCTAGACTAATATCATAACTTTAAGGTATGCTAACCATATTCTGTTTCAGTTATGAAAATGTAGTTGAATGTGTGTTTACTTTGAGATTTCCATTAATTACATCTGAGAGGTATAGAGACCAAATAATCAGAGTAGTTGCCCATACTATTTCAAAAATCTAACAACTTGAAATTCAGTCCTTTATAATATAGCTGTTGATTCAAGAAAATTAGTCTTCTAAATGTCTAAGAAAAAGAAAAATATCTTTAAAGAAGGACTTATATTTTACATGTTAAAAATCAATTAAAAATTGTGTTAAATTTTTCTAGAAAAAGCTCTACAAGCTAAAGGAAGCATATTTTTAAAATACAGTAAAAGGCAAGTTTAGCCAAAAATCACCAAAAAGTGTTGCTGATCTTTTAGCAGTTTTAGTTTCATTTCTTCTTTTCTGAGAGAACAGGTACTTCCCTGATACAAAGCTTCCAAACTTAACCTCTAAGTTCCACCTCCTATCTCTCACTTTCACTTTTCCCATTTCTTTTTCCTTTCCCTGTGGGGAAGTGAAGAGAAAGGAGATGTGATAAAGCTGCCAGGCTTTACCCCTCATACAACTGCAAACTCTAGCAAAAGTAATAGATGGCTCAGCTCTTTAATGTAAAGTTCTGTGTCTACTAAAACATATGCATGGATGAGCAATTTTAAGGACTTTTTACTATCCGAGAATCAAACTGTTTAAAGTATGAGAACAATTAACATCCGTAATGTTAAATTTTATAGC